GGCTGGGGACTCCGTCCACGATGAGGGAGATGGTAAACTATCCAATGCAGACAGTAGGAAGCTGGGGCTGCTCCCCACTAGCGTTCTAGCTGTTGCCTCGTCCGACATTGCTAGAAGAAGCCATGAAGAATGCTAAGTTTTTTGGAAGAGAAGTGCTGTAAAAGCTTGAAGGAAGGCTTTTAGAAGCGATTCCCACAGACGGCGCCAAATGATGTAGCACGATCCGGGCACTCCTAGCTGGCTGCTGACTGGCTCCTTATTGGCAACGGATGGCACTTGAGAAGATAGAAAGAAGGATTCGTAGGGATTTACCTGGTGGGAATACTCCGAAGCTTAAGTCAGAACATTGGGGAAGGAGAAGAAAGAGAGTGCAAAAGCTAAGAGTGTAGGTCGCGCTTTTTCAATGTGCTCGAGATATTAGTTCGCGAGCAAGCCAAGACTCAGGTTGAGTATATAAATGCGGAAGTATTCAAAAGTCTAAGAGAGAGCCCTTCTCTTTTGCCTCAAGGGCTTTTACAGGGAAATTACTGTCAAATCGAGTGTAACCGCCACTGGGCCCCTGCCGTAGCCGTTACCTGCCAGGGCTGCTCAGGTGATCGTTGCAACGTACCTCTCGCTTGGATGAGTGACACGTCTTAAAGGGGCAGGCACGCTTCCGCCTGCTGAGAGACGTGGGTGCAGACTGTCGAAAGGACAGGGACTGCGCCGTCAGTTAAGAGACGTGGCGCAGACTGATCGGTATGGTATGTCAGTTAGAAGCTTCCTGAGAAACGTCCGCGCCGCTTACTCGCGAGCTACTTTGTAGCGAGCTTGGGAATACTTCAGGGTTGCCCTTAATAAGATTGTTCTCTAGGGTCTTATCCGCTTGGGGGCCGGAGCGAGCTGGTTTCCCTAGTACGTGAGCTAAGGCAGTCTTGGAGTATCCCCTTCTGGGTAGCTCGGGGAACCCGAATCTCGTGTTGTAGTGAACTTCTACAACGAACTATGATATAGCGAGTTGCTTTATGGGCTCGTTACTTAGCCGTGGTCAGGTTACGATGCTGAGCTGTTGCCCATGCTGAGTCAAGTCCACTTGTCATCATTTCATAGGTCGGGTCAAATCATCCTTCATCACCATGCATGGACCACACGTGGCCTTGTAACACTTAGCCACCAGAATGAAAAGAAGAAACAAAACTTCAAACTTAAAAAGACTCCATGGAAAGGTATTCTTAGTTCTAACATCCAAAAAAGACCCAATGTTATATTTGAAAAGTTATAGCTTCAATTTCTTCCTTATTTGATCATTATCATCATCATCCATGCCTTATTCTAAATATATGGGATTGGCTACATGAATCCTATTTTGCCAATCTATTTTATTTAAATCAATATCCACTCTTAAATTATTAATGATTAGATCATTTATTACTACTTCTATCCATGTCTTTTTTGGTCTACCCCAACCTCTTCTAATCCTTTCAATGTGTAACAAATCACTTATAATTGATATAGTTGATGGTCTTCTATGTACATGACCATCTCATCTTAGTCTATTCTCTATCATTTTATCACCCACTCGACCTACTTATAGGTTTTTACGGATAGTTTCATTCCTAACTCTATCCTTTCAAGTTGTTTTATATCCCGTCTATTGTAATATAGACCAAACCAATTCAATCCCTTTATCTTGTAGATGCATCTATTTGGGTCAGATTCAAATATTAATTGGGGGCTCAACTAATGGTGACTGATTGGTAGAATCTTTGACCATTGTGGCAGAGACCTAGATCATACCCTATTGTGTAGCCCCTTCAAGAAAAAAAGAAAAAGGAAAAAGAATTAATCCACTTTACCTCAATTGACTTTATAACTAAAATCTTATTAAGTATCAATGTTTTCAGCTCATTAACCCATCAATTTTCATCTTATGGATCCCAAACAAAAATACATCTAAAAGTTAGATCAAGGTATATTTAGATTCCATTTGTAGCCCTGATTGGACTTGTTCATGGGCCAATAGGCCTGGCCCTAACGAAAACAATCATCACCATCATCATCATCAATATCATCGTAGTCATCATGATCATCACCATTGTTGAATTTTGATGAACATGATTACTACTTTTAGGACAGTGATCCTAGCACCATTGTTAGCATTCCATTAGTTTTGAACTTTTATGAAACCTTTTTCCCTTTCTTTTATTGTAATGAAAAGAAAAAAGATAGGAAAAATTCAAAATTTAGATATTAGATGGCAAAATGCTCTCATAAGAATTCAAAACTAAACTTTTCTTTCTTCAATCTTAAAAAACGAGGAATACCAGACATTAGAATAAAAAATAAATGAAAAACGCCCACCGTGGGGCTCGAACCCACGACCACAAGGTTAAGAGCCTTGCGCTCTACCGACTGAGCTAGACGGGCCTGATGACTGATGTTTCGATGGAAGTTTATTTACAATTTAGATCGAAAGGTCAAGCAACATCTAGCTCTTCATACCATATAGTTCAGTATTGCGGCGCCATGACGTAAAAAATCATGGAGTGGCTATGGACGATCGCCGAACTCCTCGTCCTGGTAGCTCTGATTCTTACTTTAGGCTTACCATTGGCAGTCATCATCGTGGCTTTTAGAAGAAGATGCAGTCACATGTAAGTCTTCATCTCGAAATTTGTCTCCATTTGTTGTTCTTCTTACTTACTGGTACTACCCTTCTCAATCTCAGTAGCGCCGACGATGCACATCCTATTTTCGAGGACCCTAATTCTCTGAAACAGGTAATTGCTTTTCTTTTGAAGAACATAACAACTCCAGTCAATTCTGGTCTCTTTGCAATTATAATACTGGGTCTTTACGAATTAGGGTTCCGTTTTGATTGTCTTTTGCTATATACTATCGCAAATTCTGTTTGTTTCTTTCTTACGTGATCCACTGCCATTGCGTGCGGAAATTCACATACATTTAAACATAAACTGGGTATTTTCATGGATTCTCAACGGGAATATTGTTGTGCAAGGTAGATATTTTTTTGTTTTTGTTTTGTTTTTGAGAAAAAGATGAAGTATAAAATTGTATTAATATGAAGAAAAAGAGCCCATGTACGCCAAGGATCTGTACAATGGGAATATACAAAAATCTGCACACCCGTTTTGCTTCTTTCTTACAAAAAATAAAGTATCAAAAAAAAAAAGTTGTATGGTCTCCAACAGTTTGTGCAAAGCAGCCCAAGACGACAACATCCCAATAATTTTCTTAATCATCACTGTCTCCTCATTACTCTTATTATCAAATATACAAGCATTCCTCACACCCCAAATGGCCCAAACATCTGCATCAGAATCCAACTTCAACAAAATTCTTCCCTTTCAACTCAAGCCTCCAGATTGCCAAGCTTTCAAAAAATCAATCGAAGTTTCTGGGAAATATGTTTGAATCCCAAACAAACCCAAAACTTTTGCCCATACCCCACCAGCATATTTGCAATGAAGAGAAAAGGTGATCAGTTGTCTCTATACAGCTATCACAAAAGACAATTTGGGTTGTCCACTGTCACTCATCTTTTCAATAAGTTTTCAGTAGTGACTAGTGAGATACATGTTTTGTACTGCCTCCCAAAGCAGAAAAGAGCCTTTGAGGGGATTAAAGAGCACCAAATCCTTGACCAAGTGAAACTACTATCACTTCTCTGAGACAGCTCCCTGTAGAAAGACTTCACTGAGAAAGTCTTGGAACCATCCCTGTCCATATCCTGTTATCCTGCTGGATCCTGTTTATGTTAGCATTTTGCAATATCTGAAGCAACTCTACCATTGACCCAACCTCCCAAGGTAGATATTTTGCAAAGTTTGCTATTGGAAAAAGTTCAATACATGCACTTGAAAAGAATGCGAGGAGCAAGTGTATGCTAAATCTGAAGCATAACTTTGGAAGAGGTTATCAGAGATGAGCATGGGGTCTCAAATATGCTGACCCTGTTAAATCTTGTAATATGGTATAATTGTACAAATAAGGCCAGTACCCAATTTTAGTCCCAGTTATCTAGGGTCTTGGGAGGGGGTGGACTGGTAGAAACCTAACCTTTGGCATTTTTTTGCACAAAGTGGTTGGTCTTAGGCTCGAACCTGCATTGTCATGCTTGTCAGCCTGAGGTTTTACCATCACACCAAGCAATGGCCCCTAATGTGGTATTTTTTTATTGGACTTTTGGTACTCCTAGTATGGTATATTTGCACAGGTAAACATTATTCTGCAGTATTGGCAGATAGTCTTTGGTTGAGTAGTTTGCCACTTCATAGAATTAAAATTATCAAGTTACTAAAAATGTATATATGGATGAAAACTATACTTTTGATTCATGGTGCTTGGATGAAAAAGTTGTTGCTTGCTACTGTATGCATCCATTTCTCATCAGGCATACTTGTTTTGCAGTTTATGCTTGCTTGAGTACTCTCCTTATGCTAATAAGAGTACAGGATCTTATGCCTAGCATATAAATAGTGGACGAAAAAGATGAAAAAGAAAGAAAAAAGAAAGTTTAATTAGATATTTTTTTTGAGAAAATTTAACCAGAATTCATTAAGATAAAGAGAGGGAACATGGGAAGATGTACAAAGCAGGGGACGAACCCCTACAAGTTACAAAGGAGGAAGCTTGTCGCTAATGATGTCAAACCTTCCAACATGTCAGCTTTCTCATAGGATGGAGTCCACTTGCTGCCTATGCATGACAAATGATGTAATTGAGTATGGACCTGTAATGGATTGCCTATTATACCTTTTCTCTGTTCTAACCCTTCTGCTTGAACCTAGCTATATGGGATTGGCTACATGAATCTTGTTCTGCTATTCCATTCTGTTCAGTGTCATATCCATAGTTAAATTATGAGTGATTAAATCATTTCTTATTACTTCAACCTATTTCCTTTTTGGTCCACCCCTAGTTCGGTTCTTGGGTAGGGCCCAGTCCAAATTCTTGGATCTGACCACCACCTAGGTTGGTTCCAGGGTCCGGGTGTTTACCTTACCTGAACCAACCTGAAGAACTGGCCTTGGTGGAACATGCCTGGGTGTAATCAAGGATCAAAATATCGATACACCTGGGGGGTTATTGGTGCATATTGATAAGACTGATACACTTTTTCTTGTTTTTTTAATCTTTAATTTTATCAGCCTGGAGGGGCGCCTTCTATCATCCAAAACTTTGAATCCCACCAGGTGTATCCATGTGTCTCCATGACCACTGATACAGATATGATGCACTCAATATTTTGATCCTTGGGTGTAATTTGAACTTAGGTATGGGTTTGAATGATGGGTTATGTATTAATTTTGTTGTATTGTTTGGGTTGATTGTGGATTGTATTCTATTTGCATTGAGATTTCATTCAACTAAATTGTGGAATGTGTATAAAGGTTGATTATGGATTAGTAATGATTATGTGATATTCTTATGTTTTATTTTCTTTTAGATTGAATGACTATATGGATTTGAAATGTGGAATGTTTATGATAGATTGTTATCCAAGGTCAAAGCTTTGAAAGAAAGAAAAAAAACAGCATATGACCTTGGAACTGACCTTGGAATCGCCAAGGCCAGAATCAACCTCGGAACTGATCTTGACAGGTTAGGTTCTGGTTCCAAAAACCTGGAACCAACCTCTACAGGGTAGGTTCCAGCTTCTGCCTTGGAACTGGACCAAACTGACCCATGCTCACTCTACTGCCTAACACTTTGCTCCATAAACATTGCTGGCCTTACAACAACATATTGTAGTAATATGTGATTGGGGTGCAATATTTATTTCAAACCCGTCTTGTTGACAAAATTATCTGAATATTTGATGTTAAGTTGAGAAGCTGATTTAGAACTTGTGTGTGTAACTGACAAAAAAGGTTCCTTTGCTTGTGCAATTTTGCTGATAAAAATATTCAGAGTACGTACATATCTTTGTATAGGTTCAAGCAGGGGTACATGAAACATCACCTTTATACCATACCACATTATTATTTTTATTATAAATGAGAATTAACAATTGAAGAAAAAGGCTAAAATCATATATTATCATAACTACTTCAACTATGGACCTCTTCAAGGATTTTTCTGCAGATGACTTGCTTAGAGGTTGGAACATAGTAGCAGGCTCTTCCATCCCTCCTACTATTGTTAATGAGGAGTGGACCCCACCTTCACTTTTTTTTTCTATGAAACTGAACTTTGATGGCAGTTTCTATGGGAAACCCTGGTCCTTCTGGAATCGAGGGTGTGATTAGAGATACGGAAGGAAGAATTTTGGCCCTTTTGTGTGGCCCTTTAGGGGTGGGTGACTCATTAAGAGCAGAAGTAATGGCGCTTCTTCAAGGGCGGTTGGCTAAACAGTTGGGCCTCCAACAGTTAGAAGTGGAAGGGGATTCAAGATTAGTCATAGGCTGGAAACAAGGAATTTGGACGCTTGGCCCCTTAGACAGCATATAAGGGAAATAATGAATTTGACATGGGAGTTAGGAGCACAGTTTAACTGGGTTAGGAGAACAGCAAAGCAAGGGGTCAATGGGGAGACTTTATTTTGGGCATGCTTATAATTTGCTTATCCTATGAGGGGTCAACTTTTTTGAAGGTGGCAGTTGTAATTCTATAATTCTCATAATTAATAAAGTTACTGTTTCCTATAAAAAAATATTATCATAACTAAGCCATGGGGGCCTTATGCCATTGCACCATGTGAAGTTAGTTGATTTGTTAGTCAAGCATAATCAAAATCTTGTATGAAATTGTTTTTTTTAAAGTAATAATTATGCTGGATACATTTGTTCCAGGTTCCCAGCCCTTCAATCTTCGATCCTGCTGAGAAGTACATATCTTTGATAATTCCTGCATATAATGAAGAGCACAGGCTTCCTGGTGCTCTCAGTGAGACCATGAAGTAAGTCCTTACTAATTACTACCATCAGCATTATTTCTCTCTCTCTTCCCCCCCCCCATTATTCATTTAAGGTGTCACCTACACAATGCTAGGCAGTCACCTAGGCTTATGCCTAATGAAAGTGATGCACCGAGGACTGTTGCCTGGGGATGACAAGATCACACTCACACCTTGTGATAAGGCCATGGACAGTCAAAGTGATCAACATATTTTCTTTTATGTATTACCTTATCTTTTTGTTAAAGATACATTGCTACACTTATATTCTAAACTACTTGTTATGCTAATGCAATAAATTGATTGGCTTGAATTGTTCTATAGGCATGTGAGGAAGATACGTAAAAGGGTATTTATGTTAACAAAAAATAAATAAATAAATAAAGGAAAAAAGGACCATGAGATAGATTCTGCTGAAGAGGAAAGCAATTAAAGCAACGGGACTAGGGGTTTGAAGGAGTAGGAAGGGAGGTAGGGTGGCCAACAACCTCAAAAGAAGCTATGGGCCAAAGATAATATAGATAATGTATGCACATATATTTAATATGAAAGGTGCCATATCCATACTATATAAAGTGGACACTTGCCTTGGGTTCCATGCATTTCATAAAAGTTAAATCCAAATACCATGCATCATGTATGCTAATACTTATCTGCACACGTGCATAGCATGTGCTCTTACACAAGTACGTACAAATGTTAGTTATTCGTAAATCTGTTTTATGCCATTTGATGTGATGATCGTTTAATCATTTGTTTTTGCATTTACAGGTAATAATGGGTTGATTCTCAAATTGTTAATAAGAAAGGGTTAATGCCCAAAATTATTTATTTCTTTGGTTTTCTCATTTTAAACACCCAAAGCCTAGTTGACACCTTGCTTAGAGAGTTAAAGGACTAAGAAATTGTACACCAGGATGTTGAATCTATCCGGTAAGAAAAGAGGTAAGAACTTCTATTAACTATATAACAAGAACCACCAATAAAAAAACTATATAAAGAGAACCTTACACATAAGGCTCAGTTTGGAAAGAGTGCAAAATTATTTAGTTCTTTGGTTTTCTCATTCTAAACATGCCAAAACCTAGTTGACATCTTGTTTAGAGAGTTAAAAGAACTAAGAAATTGCAGCGCAGGATATTGAATCTCTCCAACAATAAGCAACAGAGGTAAGAACTTCTATTAACTGTATAAAGAGAAACATCAATAAAAGAACTGTATAAAGAGAACCTTACACATAAGTTTCAGTTTGGGACAAGTGCAAGTACAAGGTCTAGAAATACCGTATACAAGGTTTTGCACTGAACATATTTGTATTTGCGCTGTTCCTAAACTGAGCCTAAAGGAAAAATGAGGAACATGGCCTGACTTATTTAGCTCTCCTACTTCTGAAAGAACTAAAATTTGACTTGGAACAAACCCCCACATGGTACATCTAGCTTGGGTCCACACAGGTATCATGTGGAAGGATTTTAACTTGCCGAGACACCCAAAATTAACCAGGACACCTTATTGTCTAAGTGGTTCTGCTTCTAGGACTCAAATAACTCAAGAACAATCTCAAACAAATTGAAACCTGTCCAACAGATGACTCAATATAGATCATAGTTTTCAAGGTGCTGAGGCAAGGCTAGGCGATGGGGGGGGGGGCATGCCTTGTTGCCTAGTTGCCAAGGCAAGCACCTGGGCCTTGCCTAGGTGATCGGATGGGATTTTTTTGAATAAAAACCATGAATCCTAGGGTAACTCCCTAGGTTCCATAGCAAGCAACAGCCATCTTTCAAATGTCTTTAATCTTCATAAAAATGTCTAAACTTCATTTAAAACATAGAAAATCAACATATTCATGAAGAAATGAAAGAAAGAAAAGAAATTTCAGAAAATAGAGGGGGTGAACCTCTATTTTTGTCCTAGGAGAAGAAGAAAAGGAAAGAAAGGAAGAAAAAAATAATATGTGTTGATTGAACAAAATTTTAAGTTCTTCCATGATTATTGGTTCAACTTTGATGCCTTTGAGGGTTCAAGATAGTATACATCTTGGTTGAACCCTAACAAATAAGAAAAATAATAAAAGGAAACTAATATTTTAACTCAAACTGAATCATTTAGTTTAATGTTTCTTTTATTTTTGTAATTTTAGAAAGTTAAGAACATAAAAGTATCCAAGAGTGCCATGTAAAATATCTTGCCAATTAAGTGAGGCAACCCTCCATGAGTGCTTTATCGCCTAGGCATTACTCTACATGTTAAGCTACCTTGGTATTACCTTATTGTCATAGTTAGATAGTATATTCTAGAGGTAGTCTCTATTTTATATGATAGTGGGTTGTTCTTCTATCATTTGGTGTAGCAATAACAGACATGCCTCTGCTGGGTTATTTGGTTTTTCATTTTACTGATAGCAGCATGTTTGTGTTTCATTGGATGGTCACAAGAAACTGTTGTGACTATATGATCTCATGAAAACCAAATCACCATGCACTCATTGGATGATTTGGTTTATCCTTTTGACTTATAGAATGTTTGGGTTTTTTCAGAGGCCACAATAAAGTGTTAAGATTATGTGAACTCATCGCTCTACATGTTAGGCAACCTTTGTATTCTTTTGGTATTCCTAAGAAGGTAGTAGATCACCGAGGTAGTCTCTATTTTATCATATGATAGTGGGTAGTTCATGTATCACTTCGGGTAGCAACAAGAGTGCACACATTGGGTAATTTTGTCTTTCATTTGGTTGATAGAATGTATATGTTTTATTGGATGGCTGTGGAAAAAAGTGTTGTGGCCATGTGGACTAATTGAAACCAAATCACCTAGGCATGCACTCACAAGGTGATTTGGTTTTAAATTTGATTATTAGACCCTTTCTTGTTTAATGAAATCTTTTATCTTTCATCTCAAAAAAAAAAAAAAATTATTAGCATGTTTGTGACTTATTGGAGGGTCATAATAAAGTATTGTGACCTCGTGAATTCATCAAAATCAAATCACCCAGGCATACACTCATTGGGTGATTTGGTTTTTCTTTTGATTGATATTTTGATGGCATTTTAGTTTTCTATTAGAATGTCACAACTCACAAGAAAGTATTGTGATCATGTGGACACATCACAACACATGTTAGGCTACCTTGGCATTTTTTGATTGTCATAGTAAGATAGTAGACCTTAGAGGTAGTCTCTGTTTTTTCATATGCTAGTGGGTTATTTTTGCATCATTTGGGGTAGGAAGAAGGCATGTACTCATTGGGTGATTTGATTATTAGCATGTCTGCTTTTATTGTAGGGTTGCAAGAAAGTGTTATGACCATGTGAACTCATTGAAACCAAATCACCCAAGCATGTACTCATACTGTGATTTGGTTTTTCATTTGATTAATAGCATGCTTGTGTTTCATAGGAGGGTTGTATGAAAGTGTTGTGGTCGTGTGAACTCATCATTCAACATGTTAGGCTACTCTAGTATTTCTGAATTATTATGATCAGTTAGTAGGTCTTAGAGGCAATCTCTATTTTTTCATATGTTATTGGGTTGTTAGTGTGTCATTTAGGGTGCACTCATTGGATAAATTGGTTTTTCATTTAATTAGTGGCATGTTTATGTTTTATTAGAGGATTGTAACTAAATGTTGTGACCATGTGAACACATCAAAATCAAATTGCCCAAGCAAGCACTCATTGGGTGATTTGGTTTTTTGTTTGGTTGATAGCATGTCATGTTTTATTGGAGGGTCAAAAAAAGTGTTGTGGCTATGCGAACTCATTGCTCCACATGTTAATCTATTTTTGTATTTCTTGATTGTCAAAGTAAGGTAGTAGACCCTAGAGGCATAGTTCTCAAAGTGTCGAGGTGAGGCTAGGTGATGGGTTTTTTTTTGAATAAAACCCGTCTTTCACTATTAATTGTCTCCTAGTTGCCTAGGTGATGGGTTTTTTGAATAAAAACCATGAATCCTAGGGTAATTACTTAGGTTCCATAGCAAGCAACAACCATCTTTTGCTATTAATTGTCTATAATCTTCATAAAAAATGTATAGGTTTCATTTGAAACATAGGAATAAACATAGTCATGAAAAAATGGAAGAAAGAAAAGAAATTTCAGAAAATAGAGGAGTTGGGTCTCTATTTTTGTCCTAGGAAAAAAAGAAAAGAAAAGAAAGGGTAAATGAAGAAGAAGAAATGATGACGAAAATAATCAATATGTGTTGATTGGGTAAAACTGTGTTCTTCCATGCTTATCAGTTCAAGTTTCGAAGTGTTCAAGGCAGTATATGATGTGGACGCGTAGTGGGAGCAGCAACAGCAATGATCCGGTGTTCTCATCCTATCCAATTCGGCAGCAACAGTTTTATCCATTCGACAGATTAGATTAGACTATCCAGGATATTCTCAGAAACCCCAAAGAGGAGCAGCAGATCTGAAGGCTATCATACATATTAGGGCAATACAGTGGCTGAAATATTTGGAACTATTCACAGATTACACTGTGGATGACATGTTGAGGAAGTGGGGTGAAATTACAAATTGCACACAGACCAAGTCAGTAATGAAAGTGGTTTGGACTCCCCCACCTAGAGGATTCTTGAAATTAAACTTTGATGGATGCAGTAGGGGAAATCCGGGGCAATCGGGGATTGGAGGTGTTTTTAGGGACGAAAATGGGGTCATCTCTGCCATGTTTCTCAGGCCCAATTGTAGTGGGTGACTCCCTTAGAGCTGAGATCCTTGTAGTTATGGAAGGAGTCCGGAAAGGTAAGGAGTTGAACATCAAGAAATTCATAATTGAAGGGGATTCAGAGGTGGTGATAGGATGGTTGACTAAAGATCAAAATGGTTTATGGAAGTATAACAATGAGAGGAGGAAATTCATGTGGCTGGTGCGGGAGATGGAAGTTAAGACATGTTGGGTTAAAAGA